TTTCATCATCATCACCTCTGCCAGTACCTGTGGCCAGTTCCTCTCTAAGCCTCTTGTTTTAAAAATGGATGACAGGTTGGCTGGTTGTCAGTCAGAGAGACACAGAGAAGGAGAAGTACTGCAGCAGACAGAGCTGAGGAAGAGGGGGAGGAAGGGGAGGGATAGAGAGAAGGTAACGGGGGAGAGAGGCTGGAGCAGATCAGGCTCCCTGAGCAATTTTACCCTTTTCAGTGCATTGTACTTGCTCTGGTTGTATTCATATTGATTTTATATGACTTTGTACTTTATGAGCTATAAAGAGAGTTTATGGGACATTACCCTCAGTAATCCCAGCTGCTCTGTTAATCGCGCACAGGCATTGCTCTGCTCTGATGGCCCCCTCCCCAGCAGGGCCCAGGAGTGCAGGTCCATCACCAGGGTGCAGTGCAGAGGCAGAAGGAGCAAGCAGCTCCTGTCCAACGGTCAGTGACTCTCCGCCTGAATGACGGGGGCTGATTGTGCGAGGTGGGGCTCTGAAGGAGGACACACTGGTGTTTGCGGCCCTCTTGTTAATGAAGGGCTGTGTCTAGGTGGCAAGGTTCTCCTGGTTCTCAGGTAGCTCTGGGGTTCTTGAGCGCAGGAAACGGCCTGTACACCTAATGGTTATTAATAAACATTAATGGCAATTATACTCCAGCTGTAAAAAAACATGACCTGAAGCACCTCATTAGTAAAATCATACTGTATCATACTGCTTGTTACTGGCTCAGAGCTGAGCACAAGGACAAGAGTGGTAGTTCAGACAGAGAGGTGGTGAGTCTGAAGTCATTACTATATTATTATACAACACAGTGCTCCTGGAACATAACAGCAGGATGACAGAATTAAACACCAGAATTATTTAACATTCACTGAGGGACGCTTGTCCGATCTCTGCTCAGACAGGGCCCTGGCCCTTCAGAATAATGAAGAGTAGGAGCTGAGCACTGAAACAGCAAGACCAGGCTGCGCAGGAGCTGAGCTTTCATCCCTGTCCCTGTATGTGCAAGAAGAGTGAGCCTGTGAGCGTGTTGAATTTCTTCAGAAATATGAAAGGAAGTAAATTGCATACGCTGTCTGAGAGCAGAGCTCAGGCAATATTGCCACATAATTTGAATGTATTGCTTTAATCGATAACAAAGGGAAATATACTGCTTTACATGGTGTCCCTGTGTTACAGGAAATTGAATTATTAGCAAGAAGTTGTATGTGATGTTTGATAACAGAAAAGCCACTTCAGGGAGATGAAAGTGATTCCTTTCACGATGTCCATGTCTCAGAGAGCTTGTTTTCCCACCAGAGGTCTCCTGCACCTGTCTGTGGGATTCCTGTAGGGCTGGGGAAAAGCCTGGCCCTCCTGCTGTCTCTCATCCCCTGCAGGGTGTCCCATTAGAACATGAAAGCAGCCACAGACAAGAGGCTTACATGCTTACATTACTAGCTAGTGGATCTAACGGTCTCATTGAGCTGTTTCCTGACAGAAGCCAGGGTATCGGCTTCATAACCCTGTATCTCTGTACCTCCTTTCTCCTGCCCTACAGTGCTTCAAAGGATAGGACTGGAGCTCCTCCACCAGCTGCTCACTGAAACTACAAGCACTTGTAACTTGTATCAAGGGTGGGCAGGAGGAAGAGTACAGAGGACTGGTCAGCAGCTTTGTAGAGTGGTGTGGGGAGAACCACCTGCAATTGAATGTAACAAGACGAAGGAGCTGGTGATAGATTTCAGGAGGAAAAGGGTCCAACCTCCTCCTGTCTACATCCATGGGAGTTGCGTAGAGATAGTGGACTCATACAAGTACCTGGGCGCTCACATTGATGATAGACTGGAATGATCTAAGAACACCAAGGCCATCTTAAAGAAGGGTCAGAACCGACTCTACTTCTTGAGGAGTCTCTGGTCCTTCAATGTGTGTAGTAAGATGCTCCATATGTTCTATCAGTCGGTTGCAGCGAGTGCCATTATCTACACGGTGGTGTGCTGGGGCTCTGGGAGTAGAGCAGGGGATGCTAACAGGCTGAACAAGCTCATCAAAAGAGCAAGTTCAGTCATTGTCTTGTTCATAAACCCCTCATCTTAAGGACGCTCCAGTCCTTCCTTTTTTTTTACTTATCTCCCACACCTGCTCCCTGTTCCAGCCCCCTTTTCAGTTCCCCTTAAAAGTCAGACGCCTACTCTGTTCTGGGCTCTGCATTGGTTTCCGTACCAGGTGAGTCTGGGACCTGGAAGCACCTGGTCCCGTCAAGTTTTTAGTTTCTGTTCCTGTTCCCGTCTACATGCCTGTCCTGATCCGGTTCCTGTTTTTAATCCTGTTTGTCTTGGATGGACCGCGCGGCCTTGGACTTTTGTTTCGTCTCAGATTCCCCCTTGTACTCACTTCTGGACTGTTTGCCTCGGCCACACCTCCCCAAACACATGCGCACCATGGACACGCCCCCCGTTTTCATTCCCGACTCCCGGATGCTTTTTTCCCAATGTTTTCCTCACTCTAGCCCGGCTTGTGTCGTCTTCATAGGGTCCTGAAAGAACACTTCCATTACAGTCATTGGGTCTGGCCTGGACCCCCTGGAGGTAGTGGCTGAGAGGAGAATGGTGTCCAAACTAGAGGCCATCATGGACAACGTCTCCCATCCCCTCTATGACATGCTTGTGGAAATTAAAAGCACGTTCAGCAATAGGCTGATCCAACCACAGTGCGACAGGGAGCACTACAGGAGGTCATTCTTGCCTTCTGTCATAAGACTGTACAACGCATCCACTTTGTGACTGGGCAGGGGCAACATTGACATTGACCTGTTTTTGGACAGAACATTAAACTGTCTGCTACATCTGGCCTTCCAGTTTATACATTTACATTTATATTTATACTAACAGTATGTTGTGCAATACAACTTTTTGTGTACTATTCTTGTTTGTTCTCTGTGTGTTCTGGGCTGTGAGTAACTCTTCTTAGTGCACTTCTCACAGTACTGATTGTATTGTATGTATTGTATTATTATTATTGTATCATTCGTTACACTGTGCTCTGTTGACTGTGTTAAGCTGCTGTTGCACTGCAATTTCCCTCACGGGATCAAGAAAGTACAGTATCTATCTAATCCAACAATCTGCACAGCACATGCACAGCGGTCCCCGACAGGTTGACATCCGTATCCCTTGTCTGAGAACCCTAATTGTATCATAGCTTCTTCTGAGCTGATGCGTGCAAGCCTGGGACAAGCCTGTCTGTGGGAGAGGAAGGTGTGTCAGCAGCGCGCGCCACTGCTCATTACTGGGCTCTGACTCTCGATAGCGTGACTGATGCCTTTCAAACACCTTACACTTATCCTTCCACTACCTGTGGTTAATGAGCGGCTTAGTTAGCATGCTGTACTGCAGGCTGAGAGAGAGACAGCAGTGTTGAGTGCTGTGCAGCGGTAGAGTCTGAGGCTGACGTAGCCAGCTTATTTCAGGATATCAAAGACCTTCTTTAAGCCTTCCCCTTGTTTTACAGATCAAAGTGTTTCTTATCTCCTAACCCTTCTCTGCAGCCAGCCTTTGAAACTGGGAATGATTCTGACTGGTTTCTAGTGACCTCATACAAGCTTGTGATATCAACAGCCTCTAGGCCAGCTGTCAGCGGGCAGCCATTCCTGCTGCTCTGTTAATCCAGCCTTGACGTCTGTGCCTCCAGTGCATCTACAGCCTGTACAGTACATCTCATGGACTCATTAAGAACCGCATTGCTCGCCATCATCTGCAGACCTTGCCAGCTCCATGTATTGATTCCCACCTCACAGAAACTGAAACGCATGATTTACATACAGGGGAGTCGAATTCCCAGACACGTTTGTTCTGGGCAGATATAACCGGCAAAACGTGACCAGAATATCCCTGTGGCATAAAGGAACCTGCAATGAACCTGCCCAGTGATGAATCATTGGGAAAGCTGTTCTAAAGCTTGCTTGTACATCGTATTAGCAGCCCGGAGATGGGTGAGAGGCGACATGGGTACAGGAGGATAGTTAACCTGTTCCAGAGGATTGAGTGATGAGGGAGATGATAATGGGACTGACAGCTGCTCTGCACAGTTCCCCAAGGTCGCTGTAAGACAATATTAGCACAGCTTGGATTCTCCCTCTGGCTGTGTATATAAGACATGCCAGCACACCCCCCTCTTTCTGTCCTTCACTCTCTCTCTTTCCCTGTTTACTATCAGGCCTTGGTGAGGAAGCAGTGAGAGTCTGTGTTGCCTGCACACTATTGCCCTTGGTGAGTTTCACTGCTCAGTTTCTACTGGAACAGACAGCACCTTCACTGAGAAGCACCACTGTGATGTAGCAGCCAGGATCCCTGTCCAGGGAATAATGAAGCTCAGCTGAGATCCTACTAGATGAATAAATTTTGTAACAACAGGAGTTTGTCCTTTTCCAAATTAGGTAGACTTTGGCCCAGATTAATTAAGAATTTCCAACAACTTGCCAAATGCAAAGCACTCATCCCATGCTTTCTGACAGTATCGTGTGTAATAATCATGCCTCTCCTACCCACTGCCGGATCTAGGGTTTGCAATGTATCACTTGGCCCTCAGAATGTCTTCTGTTTTTACTTCTTAGCCTCCTTTATGAAATGGAAATCACAGACAATATCTATTGTACATACAGTGAATGCGAAACAGATTGGTTGTAGATAGCATCAACCTGCTCCCCGTCACCAGTGGAGTAGAAATATTCAGGACAAACAGAACACAAATACAGAGCCCTCCCTTATCCCCCCTTGTCACTGTTAACATTCAGATCATATATAGGCATCACTGAATTAATGAGAGTGACAAAAATGTTATATTTTTAATTTTTTGTTGTATTCTTTTCTTTAATTATTTAACTTCTGGTGATTCATCGAGCATTAACCCTGTCTAATTGGTGCGTGCAACCAGAAGCCATGTCATCTGATGAGCAAGGAATCCTGCAGGTGGCGCAGAAAGGAGTTGGACACAGCCCTACCTGTAGATGATACAGGCACAGTCTCGGCAGGTCCCACAGTTTTCGATGTCCTGTCCTGTCCTGTAGGAGTGTCTCCTGAAACAGACAGACACAGCTTTATCAGACAGAAGACCAGACACAGGAAATGCTGCAGAAGATGGTGGAGTAGCCCATTGAGCTAGGTGCCCTCACTCCCCTGTCACTGATGCCCCCAGCCTTCTCCAGAACACACACAGTGTGACTAATCACTACGAGCAGGAGGAACATCGCAGGGCTTTTAACTGCTGCTGCAGGCTATGTGCTCTGGAGAAGGAGGATAACTGAGCATCGTCTGTCCTCTGATTGGAAAGCCCCTGTAGAGCTGCTCATGGGCATGTAACAGACATCACTGGGACACAGGTGTGGGGCAGCAAAAGTCTTTTTCATATCACACTTTCCAACAATCCTAAAATCCTTACATTTTTACAATCTCGTAATGTGAGGAGTGCTCTGTGTGTCCAGCTCCCTCACTGACACAGTCCTGGGCACCGAGATAACAGGTTTCAGAGACGCAGCTGCTGTAGTTCAGCAGGATGGCTTTCCACACAGCTCTGCTTGCACTGGAATAGCACTGGAATTAATTCAGTTCAGTTTTTTTGTCATGTGCACAAGTACAATGAAATGCTTATTTGCACATATGCTCCAAAACAAAGACATAAACACAGAACAGCAGCAGCAACAAATTAATAACATATAACTTAAAAAAAGGTCAGACAAGCAGTGTGTGAAGAAAAAAACATCAGTGTGAGCCAGTGGTGGGGGTAGAGTTCAGTCATCTGACAGCTTGTGGGAAGAAACTCTTAAGAAATCTGGAAGTTCGTGCCTTTCTGCTCCTGTAACGCTGACCAGAGAGAAAAATGAGAAACCAGGATGACTGGTATCATTAGTGATACTTCCAGCCTTCCTGAGACAATGAGTTACACCGGACTAGCAGAAAAAGGTCTGTCTCTGGCATGGTGACATGGGTCCACATGGGTTACAAAGCCGTCTCTACTGGGGCAAAGAGTAATACACGCAGCGGCTGTGCAGTGTGGTGGAGATGTACAGTAGAATGAAAGATGTTCCTCCACAGGTTTCTACTGCTGCAAAGACTGGAACAGCTCAGGAACACAACAGTGATTCAAAAGTAATAAAGCACTTTTCACCAGCACTAGTACTACAGGAACAGGCATTCTTTATTAAGCAGAAGATCTTTCACATCAATGTGATACTGCGTATTTGCACGCCTGAAAGTAGACATGTTTTAATTTAAAAATGAATCCTTCATGCTAATTGATTGACATTACTTTCCCACTCTGAAGATAGGCACCTTTTCAAAAACACACCCCTTTGTGCAAGCTCACCCATCCCAATTCAATGACAGTCATCGTCCATCTTCTAACCCCTTAACTCAGTACAGGGTCACGGGGGAGCTGCACCCTAACCCGGCAAGACAGGACACCCCCTGGACAGGACACCAGTCCATCGCAGGGCAGACAGACACACAGACACACACTCACACCAGGGCCAATTCTCCCAGAAGCCAGTTAACCTACCAGCATGTCTTTGGAGTGTGGGAGGAAACCCACACGCACATGGGGAGTAAATACAGACTCTGAGAAGCTAACACCCCAGGTCTGGAATTGAACCCAGGGCTCCAGACCCAAGAGGCAGCATTGCCAACCATGGCACCATTGTGTCATCATAAAGTCATCCAATTAATTAAAAACAACATTTTAATGCAGATTATTTTCAATGCCTCAGTGATGACCTCTAGTGGCCGTTCTGTAGACATTGCACTCTCTCTCCCTTTTCCATCTCCAGCAGTCTGATCCCCCAGTTTCCCAATTTAATTACCTAGATATTGTCATCTTCATAGCTGCTGGTGAGCTGGTCTTCTTTGTTCCCCCTTTTTCTATGTCCTTGACCAAGATATATTAGTTTCCAGGCAAACTGAAATGCTCACTGTGCCAAGGTGGTAATGGTCACCTTGAGAATCCTTGTATCTTGTGAATTCATGTGTTTGTGTACTGTACATGTATCTTGTATTGATTTATTAATGTGGATCATGGGGCCCTGGAACAAGTTACATCATCTTGCTGGTGAAGATATATTGGCTTTTTTACAAGAAAATGCTGGATGAGACAAGCCAACCAGTCTCTGCTCATTTGTAACAGTTCTTATGTTTGTGTGTTCTTGTGTCCACTGTGTGTTTTGCGTGCTGTGTGATGTGTTTGCTTATTCAATGCATGGTTATCACATTTTCTTTCTAAGTCCTAAATGGAAGGAGCCCTTTAAAAAGGAGAGTGGCGTCCCTTGATGAGACCGTCTACTCATGTGCTCTTTGTTCCCGAACTTGAGTTTGCATATTGATTGCCTACCCTGCAGGAAAACCTTTCGTGTTTGCATTGGGTTGCACACCTATTTGTCCTTCTTTGCTCTAAAAGACTAAATAAACTGCGTATTTAATTGAGACAGAGTGAGGCAAACAGGAGTGAGACTGCCACTGACTGGTGTGGCTTTGAAATGTAATTTTAAAGTGTACAGGCTGAGTCCAAATCAAGAGTTTCTAATTCAGCAAAGCAGACTCTAGAGCAGGAGAGTGGGACAGCATGGATTTTGCATGAAGCACAGGACAGATTGATCCCAAAAGTGATTAAATTGAAGCTAAAAACAGCACCCCAAATTGTCTCACTAATCAGTTTGGGAAGAGAGCAGTTTAAAGAATGATGAGGATCCAGGTAATGAAAAGGTGCACAATGTATTGCAAGCATGGGTTATAACAGATATCAGAAAGGACTAGAGAGAAACAGAGAGGATTTTTCCAGTGGAGGCTGAAATAAATAATACAATGTTCTTTCAATACTACAACAGCAAGCAGACTGTCACAGGTAACGTAAAATATACTGTATCTGGGACAAAAATGGTCAACTAGACAATGTGAAGGAAATGGCGGATGTACTTAATGAGTACAGTATTTCACTCCAACATCCCCAGGCAGTGGAAATAAGGTTCTCTATTAAACATTTCAGCATGGAAGAGGGAGAAAGGGAGAAGTGTTTTGGGTACTAGAGGCACTCAATTAATAAATCGCAGGGCCCGATGGTGTTTCACCACTTGTACGTGGAAACACGAGATGTCAGTCATATTGTAGGCTGTTGGTGCAGCAAGGCAGGAAGGAATCCAGAGTAAGGCAGTAGCAGGTGATGAAAACACTTTACTTGTTTAAGGGGAGTAGGAAGGTGTTCTTAATCTATGTGATTTGGAGTATACAGTACGCAGTGTCAGGAACCTACTGTATCTACCATGTAAAAGTCGAGTCTACTGTAATTATAATTATACTGGAAGACCACCTCCTGTACCTGGGATTAACCCAGGGAATGTCCTAATATCCTTTGGAATAGTCAACAGTCTGCAGAAGGTCTTTCCTAACCACCTTGTTACAGTTCAATGAACAGGCAACAGCAGCAATGGAAACATGACATGATATACTGTAGGAAACACCGCAGAAACAGTGAATGAAATTCAGATGAGATTTTGATGTAATTCATGACTAGGCAACCACCTGACAGATGGCATGCAGCATTAACAAGATCAGGCAGGAAAAACATATGAATTGAAATGCATAATCCATAAATCCATAAATATGAACAGAAATGGGCAGATGCTACTCATGAGAAAGACTTGGGTGTTTCTGTTGACACATGATAAGGCTGGGGCAGGTGACCCTGCTGCTTGAAAGTGCTCTTCCCGTTCTATTGCAGAGGGAAGGACGTGTCCAGCTGTTCACCGTGCCAGGGAGAGCTGCAGTAACTCAGCCTTTAGCTTCTCCAGATTCCAAGCAAGAGCTCAGTTAGCTTTTAGGAGGCAGAGGGAATTCTATATGTTTATTTTTCTGAATGACCTGCCATTGTTAACCGTGTTAAAGTCTTATGCAACGGTTGAGTCACTCTGTCTCTGGGATTAAAGCACAACAGAGAGGAATTAACCCAATTTACCTTCTCAGAGACCAAACTCCAAATCCTCATTAGTCATAATGTGCAAAGAAAAAGATCAAAGACATCACTAAAAATACCATCGTAAAACTCACGTATTCCAGCACAAGGAGGACAGCTCAGGAAAGTCACAATCCCCGTTGTGTGTGTGGGAGCGAGGGAGCTGCTGTGCAGCTCGGAACATTGACTGCTAGTATTATTACTTGCAGAAAAAGACTTGCTAATGATGTTCATAAATGAGGTCTGAATAGTAAGGCCTTTAAAAACGTAAGTGACACATTCTGTTTTTTCATTTAGTTTCTAATTTTGGCAATTAAGACGCTACAGGGGATAATTAAACATCTTGATTTCAGGGCGCTGTGAGCATCTCGATAGGACTGCGCTGCAGTTTGTTGTGTCAGAAGTGCCTTTCGGAGGAGCCAGTTCCCTGAGTTTCTGGACAGCTGGAGGCAGAGCTATGAGTCTCGTACCTGGCAGGGCTGGGCACTGAGCGGTCAACCACACTCACTGGCCACCCTCGCTCCACTGCCAGCCCTCTGTCAGTCCTCCTGCTTGGCCGGTCTCTGTATCTGTGCTCTAGTTTTACAGCAGGGCTCATGCATGCTTGCAGTAAAGGCTTGGGAGGCAAAGTAACTGACTAAAATAAAGTCTGGACACGCATAGTTTTGCAATCCTATATCGATATGTGGAAAACGGTTGTGCTCTTGCTGAAAGAGAGTCTGAGTGTCACATGGGCTGGGAGAGGTCTTCCTTTTGTTGTGCAAGCCCGACCCCCCCTGGGCTGCAGGGCTGTGTCATTAACACCAGGGGCCCCGAAGGACAGGCCGGCTGGCACAGAAAGGATTGCCAAACAGCACAAAATGTGTCCATCTGCTGAACCAAGAATAGACAAGTTCAGAGAAACCTGTCCATCTGTTTTAGCCAGAACTACACAGCTGATGATGAGAAACATTTTGGAAAAATCTCCCCAAGCAGGCTTTAAAAACATGAGCAAATGAAAAGTAAACATGTCTCTGTCACACTCCCAGAATCACAGACTTTGCAGGGAACACAGCTCCTAATCCTCTGATCTGCATCCGTGAT